TTTAAAATCTATAAATAAATTAGTCTATTGAAATCTTTTAATTTTTGCCGAAATGAAATTAATCCAAGAGAAAAAACATTGTTATCGCTACTAATATCGATACGATAAGGTGATTAGAAATATTTTACATCGATTACCTGTTGTGCAAACATATTTACTGGCTTGAATAGTGTGTAACAGTTTTGAGTTTTCTTGAATTCTTTATTTTAAATTGAGCACTTCAACTACTCGTCTGGGAAATGAAAACAGTTGATGCCAAGATTTGTATGCCTCTTTTTCTATTGTAGAAATCTTATTAAAAATTCGCCTAGATACTATAACTTTCTTATTGGTCGAAAAACAACTTTCATCGATCATCGCGTCACCTTGACGAAAGGGAATTGACTATAGTATTTAGCACAGAAATTGTTTGTCAATATTTCGCCTTTCTTTTGGTTTTTTATTTTAAAAAAATAGACTATTTTGAAAAGACGATGGCATTAACAATACTATTTCAAAAGTTTTTCTTTTTCTTTTTTGTTTCTTTAAGAACAAATCAAACTTTCTCTAGTGATTTTTTTCATGACGAGGATAGAAACGTTTCTTTTAAATGTTATACAGTATGTAAAATAATTATTCTGACACCTAGTAACGTTCATCTTGTAAAGTAAATTTCGCAAGCAAGGAAGAACACATTTTCAACTTTTTTTATATNTGCTTGCGAAATTTACTTTACAAGATGAACGTTACTAGGTGTCCGAATAATTATTTTACATACTGTATATTCTAAGAAACTGCTATTTATTTTAATAGGAGAATAACGAGAGAATATATTGAATAAACAAATATAAAACTTTCTCACCATTTTCAGTTGAGTCATACATGTTGTTATTTTTAATCGATTGAACAGCTATATGTACACTTGAAAATGAGCTTAGTTGCGCTCGTTGCCCCAGATACGATTTTTTTATGCGAACATGTTAATCATATCATTTTTGCGACGTGTTGACAATCTTCTACTTTAACAGGCTCAATTTTCAGTACGTTTATAATAAATCATTTTTCAATTTCCTTTTTCTTTGTCGCAGCGATTTTTATGTCAATAGAAGCTATGAGTCGCTCAGAAAAATTATTCCTTTTGTTGGTTCTAGAACAATATTGTAGCCCAACTCACAAAAAAAAACGCAAATACAAGCTACTCTTAAACAAAAAGCTAGAACTAAATTTACTCAAGTAAATATTTCTATGATAAAAAGAAAATCCTCAATCATCAAGTAGCTAACTTAATTATACAGATTAATTCGATAAAGTTGATGAGCACCATAGACTATTATAAAGATTTTGTATACAAAGACATTCAATGGAAAAAGCTGTTGATCAACTAGACAAAATGATCTACTATTCGAATATGAGATATTGATGTCAATCGAAAATGTGATTATGTTTTGAAACTCAAAATATGGTGAACAAAAATGAAACAAGAGACAATTCATTGAAGTTTTCGAAACGCTTGTAATTGAGTCGAACATTTCAAATGTAGAGAGTATTCTAATATAAAAGAAAGGTTTCTATTGAATAAACAATAAACAAATCATGTAGGCTAGATTTATTAAACCATTTAAATTTGCACGTGTTTGCTTAATAAAGTCAATAAAAATAACTCAATTATCAAAATCAAGATTGAACAAATTGTTATAATTTAACACAGGACATGCTTTCAAAAGAAAAAAATACATGATGTTCTATGAATTATATTAACTATTAAGTCATAAGCATTTTTTATCGAACAAAAATAAATAATAACAGATGACACATTAGAGTAGTTGAGAACAACATTGATCTGTTTATACACATTTTTATGATATACGTGTCTGTGAATCAATATAATTATGTTCTTGGTTTTTTTTTACAGACTATTGAAGTTTCGTACTAATACAAAACAAAACGAATTTAGTTTGACTCGCATTAAGATGAAACTTCTAAAATCTGACGAAGAAAACTAAGTAAAAATATAATGATAATTAATTAATGACAGAAAAAGCTATACAAATTTCGAAGATTAATACGTCTCTCCAGCAATATATGTAAGGTGCCGCTAAAGCAGAATTGGAGTAAATTTTGTTTCTCGTTTATTTATTTATGGTTTGATAGAGCTTGAAAA